AGTTTACTGCTCGTCGGCCCCAAGGTTTTCCATTGCGCGTGACATCGGCGGGCTCGGAATCCAGAACTCTTCATCGCCAGCGCTGTATCTAGGAGCATCATCTCGAACCCAGCACATGGCGACAGTGAGGATAGGCCCCTCGGGCGTTTCTCCTCAAATTCGGTCGCCGTGTAGCCGCTCGAACTCCCGGCCCACCTGTTGGCGCCCATCTCGATCGCCTCACCGAACCCTGCAGCTTCTCTCACTCGTTTCACCCGTCCTTCATCGACGCGGTAAGCCTTCATAACAGTCAAGGCTCAAATATGTTTAGCCACTTGGAGACAACACATTCCCTCCATTAAGAGCTGCGCATGGCGCCGCAGCTGGAACACGCACGGGCCGAAGGGGGACGAGGGAGAAAGGAGGAAGGAGGGGAGAGCAGGGAGTCAGGGAGGAGAGGGGGGAGGAAGAGGGTAGGACGGTTGGAGGGGAGAGGGGGGAGGTGATGGGCAACGCTATGGGAGGTGAGGGACAACATATGATGTGGGGTGGGGGGGCAGCTCGGTGGGGGGTAGGAGGGGGGGAACATCGAGCTGGAATCGGCGAGACGTCGCCGACAAATCGGCGATGCGCCTTCGACAGCGCATCCGCACGCTCCTGGGCGGGGGTGGGCTGTCAGGCGCCTGTCGGGGACGCATGGGCGATCGGAGGTCGAGGCATCCCACCCTGAGCCTAATCCCCCCCCCCGAACATTGCCCACCGAGGAGAGGAGAACAGAGAAGGAGGAGGAGGGGAGGAGGAGGAGGAGGAGGAGGCGGAGGCGGAGGCAGAGGCGGAGGAGGAGGCGGAGGCGGAGGCGGAGGAGGAGGAGGAAGAGGAGGAGGAGGAGGAGGCGGAGGAGGAGGAGGAGAAAGAGGAGGAGGTGGAGAGGTAGGAGGAGGAGGCGGAGGAGGAGGAGGAGGAGGAGGAGGTGGGGGAGGAGGAGGAGGAGAGGGAGAGGGAGGCGCCACGAGCGCCAGTTTCTGCTCGCGCGGCGCCCCTCTGGCGGTTCCCTTGCGGTTTCGCTTCCTCGTCGACGAGGCCAGACGCGACGTGTGCGGGCGGCGGCCCGCCTCGAGCTGAGACGGGCCAGGCGCCTGTCGTGGGGGATGCAAGCAATGGCAGAAGCGCACAATCGAAACGCTTTCGTAAGGAACCCTAACGAAGAGAACGAGCCCCCATCTTCCCACGAATTAAACTCCGATCTACCGCAGGAGACCTGCGGACAACC